GATGGTAGACCGTGATAGATAAAGGGGTGGAAAGAGGGTGAGACATTCAACGCGATCTCATAATATTTATATACTCTTATTGTTTAGAATAATTTTATCCATACTATTATATATTAGTTAAAAAGAATAATCTTACAATTAAAATGAAATAAAGATCAAGTTCGTATCTGTAATAATTGCAGAGGTAAATATTCTTTTGTGAAATTAGTTTTCGTAAAAATCGGTGATGATTGCAAAATTTGTGGGTTGGCATCTTTTAAACAATTTAAAAATCAAGGAAATTATAACTCAAATCCCTCCTATTTTCATATGGACTATATTTCAATTTGACCAAAATCCCGAACATCGTGTACACATGTGATCTGCTTGGCGTGGAATTTTATACCCATAGGTATATGAATTCGTTTAAAAATGAACGTTCCCTCTCTTCGTAATGCAACGGATTCACTGCAGCTACTTCATTAATGCTACGGTAATTCCCGACAAACGGATGATATCGGTTTCGGGTGTGACGGTGAAGACAGATAATATACAAACAGAAGACAGATGTATACAAAGCAGTCCCAACGAAATCCGCCGCAGATAGGAGGCCCAGGAGTGGCCTCGAGGTCAAATAACATCTCCCATCGTGGACTTATGTAAACATAATGAACTCATATCGGGATCAAAATGCGTACAAATTGAAATGAGTTCCAGAGGAAATCGTCTTTTCCAGGAAGGTTTTCTTAAATATGTATAGAAAATTCCTGTTTCTCGGACATAAAGACCAAATCCTACATGAATCTGCATTTCTGTCTGTCAACCAATGCTTGGAAACCGTTTTCTTTGTTTACATGGTAGTTTTACCTCTTCGATACACATATCTTCTGCTATACCTAACAATTGCCACCTTTTTTCGTATATAAATGATATTTCATTGCTTGGAAGCCAATTCTACCACTGTATATAGAATTGGGAGCCAATTCTACCACTGTATAGCCATTCCCACCATTGTAGGATACTGGGTTTCAAAGAACGACACTTTCATGGATAATTCTAAACAAAACTGAAATAGTTCAGTGAAAATTAATACTAGATTCATGTTCACTTTTCTGACGCTCGCCCTCGTCGCACTCAGCACCGCCTCACCCTCTGTGACTCTTTCTCATCCTTCTCATTCACGCACATCACCCGAACGGCTCCCACCATCTCGCTACGGATTACAAGTAGTGATGGGTAACCGAGCTGAGCTGTTCGAGCTTGCTCGAACGAACTCATACTTCGAGCTCGTTCGAGTAACTCGAACGAGCTCGGGTGACATGTTTATGATCTCAGCGGAGACACGAGGCTCTGGCAGGCGAAGCCTCGGCGCGTAGAGATCCCCCCATTGTCCTCTATAAGTCGCCGGCAACCGACCCTCGGGTTACAATGTAACACACGTAACGAATCACCCATGAATAAAAATTGAAACTGTACTCCTTTCAGTGTACTTTCTTAAAAATATTATGAATAAATGTAGGAGATTCTCTTGATGAAAATAAGTCCAAACCCGACATAAATCGGACTATATGACTTATAATCGGAATAGTGACTTACATCTTAAACCTAATCGTTTACAAGATATTTACAATATAATCAACAATACTTTGAAATTGAGGGGCATCAGTTCGAGCACCTGTAACTTCCAGGTAGTAAGTGTGTATTAAAAATAATTTTGTAAATATCTTGTTAATCATTAGGTTTAGGACGTATGAAGGTCAACACATTTTTACACACGAGTTTCATACTCTATCGATCTATGGTACCAAAAATGGGTTATTCCATTAAATAAACAATCAAGGTGACCTTGAAATCTCTGAGATGCCTCTACCCACAAAAAAGCACATACCTCATAGGATGTGCCCCTTGATGCCATTTAAGTTCCATGCTTCAAAATTTTTGTAAAAGTGTACCGTTAAGTCATTATTCGAGGTGAGCAAATTGGCTGAGTCACCCTGTCTAATAAATCAAGGGCAAAATTCATCCACACGTTATAACGGAGAAACCGCAATTTATTCACAGTAGGTTGCGTTACATGTTATTCTTCAAAAAACGGAAAGTCGTACTTATACGCTTTGTCCTTATTTTCAAAAATTGCATTTCATATACTAGATATTCTTCGACGGTATAAAATTTAAGGGAGTAGGTAAAGACGTAAATATGCAAATGGCAGAATGAACACGTCAAATAGTGTACAGGCACGAAAAACGAGCACCGCAATTGGTTCTGCCATCGATATGATATCGCAAAGGGAGCGCGGTTTATAAAAGTTATTCTGATAAACGAAGGAAAAGTTTTCTTTGCGTGGATCATATCATTGTACGTGATGTCCCAAAAATTATCAAATCGGAAAACAACCTTATTTAAATCAATTTTTCCGCAAATTTTCATTTATAAAATAAAAAAATATCATTAGTCATCAATTTCTAAATTCAATCAGGGTCCATTAATTTATATAATTTGCAGAGAAAATATGATCGATTAACTGCTTCGCATAAAAACCATTTTAACGGTTTGCTTTCACTTCATACTACTTTTTTGAGTGATTAAAATTGAAATGGAATATATTTATATTCACTACGAAGTCTTTTCCAACTACGAAATATGTAAAAAGTGCGTTTCCGATTAAAAATATATCCAGACCAATAACTTTTTTCACAAGAGATTTCGGGTACTTTTTATATTGAGAATCTCGCGAAAGAAAACAATAATGGTTCGACAGATCAATATTACAAAAGAAGTATCGAGAAAGTGTGCTGTATAACGAATATATTCATATTACAATTGCAAATTATTACAAAGAGAGGCTTTATAAATATTTATTAGTACACAATTTCCTGTGAACTGAATAAAAACTTTTTAATCAACATGTAGACGTTCAAATAAATCCGGTCTATCTACCTAAATAGTAAGTTTGTGTTTTGTTATTGTCTGTAAAGTCATGTTTTATATAATGTTTTCGTCAATACATAGTCAAAGTAACTGTCAAGTAACCATCTACATTATGAAAATGAATTTGCTTTGAAGGAAGCGATTTTTGTGTGTATGTTGACGAAGCATTTTTTATTCGTGTTGGACAGACCTAGGAGCCTAGTAGTTATTTTTTAAGCTTTCTGTCTCATTGATCCGTACAAATCTATTTGACTAAAAGATAAATATTTATCTTAATCTATTAAAGACGTAAATTACCTTGTAAACCGAAAAAATAGGTAACTTTGAACATTTTTTTCTCAGGTAATCATTAAGTACAACATTAGAACGTCTTAAAGGGATGTTAGGCAACATTTTAACGTTATTTCCATACATTGGTTATTATTTAAAATTACATATTGGCGCACTTATACAATATACTCTATCGTCACGTCTGGCAGAACTTTGTCAGCGGACACTCATCGTAAATAGTCCTGAGAATCTATTCATCCGATTATCTCAATATTTCGATACACTTTTCCTTATAAAACTATCTATGATGTTACCGTACGGTTCTTGAATAATTTTAAAAAATAAGGAAACGGCAGCTTTATAAAGAGAAAAAATTAACGAAAAAAAAGAAGTTCAGCATATGTCCTTGAAATGACCTTGAGTCGCAAAATCGAAAACTTTTAAAATGTAAGAGAATGAACGTTCCTATTACTAATTAACTAGCATTACTGTAGTGGTAAGAGGCGAGAATTTTAAACAACCAACTCAAAGGTCTTATTCACTGTGCTCAATGACAAATGTTATTCGACTGTATTAATAATGTTAAAAATAAATGAATATTCAACAAGTTGAGATATTAAAAAAATCCATACGCTATATTGAAGATATTTTTATAAGGAATAATGTGCCCAAATTTGAAGTTAATCGGATGAATAATTTCGGTGATCTGCTGGGGGTCTGCTGAGAAAGTCCTACAAGACATGGCGGTAAACAATCTTATACAACTCCATCATTTTGAAATTTGAAATAATAACTAACGTATGAAAAGGAAGTTAAAATTGTTCATAACATCCCTTAAAAAGATCCCAATACATTAGTAAATAATTACTTAAAAACAAAATTTTTAACTTTCATACCTAGTTATTTTGAACCTACAAAATGGTGTACCTCCTTAAACGTAATTATTTCAAAACAGAATATCGTAAGTTTAGGCTCGATCGAAAGACATTATCTGCTCCGATGGTGAAGATTCGTGTGATTCATGGAGCATGTCGAGGCAGGCCGAAACGTAGGCACGCTCGCTATTGAGCAGCTGCGTTTCTTCGCGTGCGCCCATACGCCGCCGTACGCGCTCCCAATGCACTCCGCCACGTAGGTATATGTGCACACGTGCGGTGTGTCTGTTCTGTATGCAAAGGTGGGGAGAGGAGGTGGTATTGTAAACGTTCCCGCGTACAGGCTGTACGGCGTTAGGATATACATAACGTAACGGTTGCGCACATGCCCCCAGAAATAACCGGGCGTAAACATACGCACGAAAATCTTTGACGATTTCGATGCGTGAGCGAGCGACCAATATAGCGGGGCGGAGGGGGGGGGGCAGAGGGGCGTACATGAAAATCCGCGGTAGCTCGTAAACTCCCTGGATCCATGCATTTTCGCTCCCGTCTATCGCGCCGCCTACACAGAAGAAGCAACGGTTCCGTTTTTACGATCCCGCTATGCATTTCCTGCGCTAGTCATACATTGCGTAACGACTTCGTGACTCGAATTCCAATATATATAAGAAAATGCCGCCTATATGGAAAACTTCGTCTCGATTCAATAACATAGATTATTTTCGTCAAATTAATTCAGCAAAATAACATTAAACGAATAAAGTTCACTCTACAGTTAATGTTATTGTTATATATTATTTATCAGACGCACACTTTCATCAAAGAATGTCGTAATCTCCGGTATGTTGTTCGACTAAACTATTTTTACATCAAACTCCTGGTACGAAAACTGTTTTTTTATTTATAGACACGTTTGACAGTTATGTCAACAATTCCACTCACCATTTGCAAGTCGTTTCGACGCGACGATACAACTTCCGCTATATGAACCATTGGTGACAGTTTCGACGCGTGCGTTCGCGATCTCGCTGGAGGAAACAAAATCCGCGGGGCTGCGGGATTTCCTTTCACCCCGTAAAATAAGAGAGGAACGAAGCAGAATAAACTGAAACGACGTTCACTGTGTCGCGTGTCACGATACGATCACGGCGCAGGACAGCGGCACGAGCGCGTTTAATTCATCCCGCGAATCCGCACCTCGGAGAGAATCACCAGAGCGTCGGTGTACGGCACGTGTTTCCGACCACGACTTTTCCACTTCACGAAAGGAGCTCCGGTCTACGGTTGCTGTTTGTTTTCTTCTTCTTTTTCTTTTACTTTTTCGCTCCTCTTTTCTCGCTCTTCCTTTG